AGTTTTCCTCTGCCAAAAGGTTTTTTTTTTTGAAAAGTTAGAATATCATTAAAACAAGTCTATATTGAAAGTAAAAAAGCAAGGAAGAAGCACTGGGTTAACTGACACACAGTTCAGGTTGCTTCAGCTCTTTTAGTGAAATGGTAAACCCTGGCAGCTATGTGAGAGTCATTTTAATAAGAAACAAAAAGACTTCTCATATGTTTATATTTATCTTTCTATTGAAATCTTTCCTGTTAAAAAAAAAAACAAAACTGTTTATTAAATCTGCTGTGGTTTTAAGTGAGTTCCAACTATCTGCCTTTATTTCCTCATGCGTTAGCTGCATTGGGTGATAACAGTGAAGGGGAAGTTATTCATAAAGAGAACGATTATTTTGGGACCAGTTTAAAACAGAAACCTGTTTCTTACTGCAAGGCTTCATTCCTATAAGCAAATTACTGACCAATCCTCTAAAATCAGGAAATATTTAAGGTGTCCCCTGTGTTGGGGTAAATGCATCTTACACACTAATCATTGTATGAGACAAAATAGAATCCAATATTATATAATATTATATAACAAGACAATGTCCAGAATCTTATCGGGTTTTCCAAATGATCTCCTGTTTCGCCATCTAAGATCCTGCACCTATTTGTTTATGTTTATATTTGTTTGTATGTTTGTTTCTACTCTTTGAGTGGAATATTTAAACCTAAAAGATTAAGACAGATTGGTTCAAAATACAACTGTAGTTAAAAACATTTACTAGTCTTGTGCTGATCCCTGTACTCAACCCAATGGTACTAGGTAGGAACGTGGTTGCTTCTTGCAGCTAAAGAGATAACCTCTGGGTTAACATGAATGGATTATTCTTTGTGCAGTCATAGCTGGAATAATTTGGGTACTTGGGGGAATGTGTCCCCAGTTTTGGCTGCTTGTGAAACCAAATTGGATAGATGTCCCTGCGCTGCTGCTACAGGTAGACTGTACTTAAGAGTATTTTTTAGGACACAACAACTTCTTAAATGTCAGAATTAACCTCTCTGATGGGGGAAGCTGCAACCATATGACCTAAGCACAGAAGTAGTGGAAGAGGTAACTGATTTATCAGCATCCTTTGGTTTCCTCCCATTATTCTTTCCTCACCGAATGCAAATCAATCTGATCTGTGTGGAAATAAATAGGCATATTTTTCTCTTGTTTTTTCTAATTTCGCAAAACATATTGCTTTGATTCAATACGAATTTTCCTTTACTGCCATTTATTAAGTTTAATTCCTCTGTTTTGTATTTTGCTTTCCTGCATCGAAACTGTAAATCATTAGACCAGTGTTTGAGAGATTAAACAAGATGCCTTCTTTAAAATCTTGAATTTCTTTAATATCATTGAAACAATTTAATACAATAAATATAATAATATAAATACAATACCTACTGTGTAAATGTTTTAACAGCCATTAGATTTTCAGTACAGTAAAATATAAACACAGGAAGTATATTTGTTGATCTGTTTGCCCCCCCTACTTCTACTACTGCATCTACTTCTGTCTGACTCTTTACAATTTCTTCATCCATCAATCCATCCATCCATTTTCTAGCACGCTTATCCCGAGAGGGGTCACGAAGGGTGCTGGTGCCTATCTCCAGCTGTCAATGGGAGAACATGCAAACTCCATGCAGAAAGACCCCCGGCAGGAATCAAACCCAGAACATTCTTCCTGCAAGGCAGCAGTGCTACCTTCTGGGTTCTATTCCTGCCCAGGGTCTTTCTGCATGGAGTTAGCATGTTCTCCCCGAGCATGCATGGGTTCTCTCCAGGTAAACTGCTTCCTCTCACAGTCCAAAAACATGACTTTTAGATTAATTGGCTTCTTTAAATTCTCCTTAGGTGTGAGTGCGTGGATGAATGGTTGTTTGTCTCTGTGTTGTGCTGTAATGGACTGGCGACCTGTCCAGGGTTTACCCTGCTTATTGCCCGTAGACCTGCTGGAGATAGGCACCAGCAAGCCTCATGGCCCCAGCAGGGATACACATGACAGAAAATGGACAATAAATATTATTTACTGATAAACATAAAGGAAAATCCTTTGAAATTTCACCTCCATACATTTTGAAGTGCCACAAATTATATTTTGTGCCTAAATGTGACTAAAATGGTTGTAATCTTAAGTCCTTATAGTACTACTAATACTAATTATACAAATGCTTCTATCCAATAAAAAATGGGTTACATTCCAATATATTTGGGTTAGGCTGATCTAGCTTGTATATACACTGGTTAAAAGTACGTTTTAGAAGATTTAGTTTTCTCTATTTACAATAACTTAAATTTAAAGCCATAATTTTATGTTTACTGATATTGGCTTTACCTTTAACCAAAATTTAAATCAGTGTAAGAATTACCAAAGGATTTTATTCTGGTGATATGTTTACGTAAGGCACATCCACTGTGCTTATCACCATTTCCACTTACCGGTGGGAATTCTGACATTGTGGAAAAATGTTCAATCTTCTTTTGGAATTGAGTACGCTTGCATGAGTGATGCAAACTGCAACTTTTAAATAGAGCGTGTCCGAGGAGAAATGGGCTCTTGCATGAGTTAAAATGGTAAATGGCATGTACTTATATAGCGCCTTTATTCAAGTTAGGAGACTTGACCAAAGCGCTTTACACTACATTCATTCACCCATTCACACACACACTCACACACTGATGGTGGCAAGCTACATTGTAGCCACAGCTGCCCTGGGGCTCACTGACAGAAGCAAGGCTGCCGTACACTGGCGCCACCGGGCCCTCTGACCACCATCAGTAGACAATGCAGGTGAAGTGTCTTGCCAAAGGACACAACGACAATGAAAGTTTAATACGCATTCACTCTCTGGAACAGGTACAGGGTTGTGCAAGTGCTTTTTTTTTTTTTAAGTGGAGAGGGCTGGTCTTCATTCATGAAAATTCTCCATATACCTTTACATTAAACTGAAACCAACACGTTTGTTTTTAGTGAGGGGAACACCTTCTTTTTCTTACTTGATCCTTTGTCTCACCGTTTAAAGCAAATAAATTCCTTGCAGTAAATTCAGTTCTTTCTTGTCCTCTGTTTCCTGCAGAGTGGACAAAGGGAAATCCACAGTGTGAGAAGACACTTGGACGCTGCCTCTTTTCTCCCTGCATTTTGCTGTACCGTCTGCCACAGCATGTTGGAGTATAAAAGCTTGCAGCATGAGGAGTACAGCACATGGCTGTTGCAGAACAACTAAGTGCGATTTAGAAAGGAGTGTGCCAGAATAACAACGTAACATCCTCTTTATGGAGAGCTTCTGAGCACGCTCAGTTTTGGGAGAGGGTTGTCTGGTAGCCTACCTAGATGGCTGAGACTGTCACTGTGCTGAAAGGGAGGGACTTTGTACTGTTTACAAATCACCTGTGTTCACCATCTTTTTCAGTTAATTTAAATACAATTCACATGTTTACAGCTATACAATACAGTTTTTATACTCTTGTGTAGTTTCTGACGCCACGATTGGAATTCAGACTTAATATGCTTTGATGTTGTGCTGATGTAGCTCTCTAAGGAGACATTTAACCTTTTTTTTTCTAATTTCAGTTGATCAGCTTGTGGATAAAACAGTAAATTGGTGTTATTTTATTAGCAGTGTAATCAGCACTTGCTTGATATGAAAGTCAAGACTGGTTGCCTTCATAACAGAGAGGTTGTGTTGAGTGAGAATTTAACTTTTTTTTTTTTCAGTGCCCACATGTAAATGAACACTTATTAACAGAGCCGTTCATCCAACACCACCCGGTCACTGTGAAAACCTGCCAATGACACTTGAGTCTGCAAAAATGAGTGTTGCGAAACAAAAGCCTCTGAGAACAACAAATTAAATTTTTTTTTCCTTGTTTCAAATATGTTGCATGTTTTCTTGGAAACCAAAGGGGACGGGGCTTCACAACTGGTGCCACTGCTATGGTAAATGTGAAATGTGTGCATAATTCAAACACTAATGTGCGACAGAAAGTGTTTTCATTTTACGCTTTACAAACTAGCAACCACAGTGGAGGTTGAGTCATGTGTGCTTTTACTTGTACATGTTAATATGTAGCTAACTCTTTCTATTCATTTGTTGTAGAGGTCATACGATTGTGCACATCATTAAATGCCTTTCCTCCCAACCAGCAGTCTTTTGCTTCTCTATATTTGTGTTTTGAGCACCAAGTCTTTTTGAATGTTCAAACTTACCTTAGATCATTGATTATTGTATTTGCAATTCTTTTTGACATTATATATTTTAAAATAATGAACCTGAATATATTTATAGTTGCTGATTATAGCAAACACAATAGGAAAAAGGCATTGTTTTTATTTGTTTAAAATTATCTAAATGATGTATCATTTTCAAATTACCAGTGGCAAGAGGAGCAAATTAAATAGTGGCTGATAAATACTTTTGCTATATCTCGCTGTGGGTTTTTCTTAACCCTTTTTTAAAATTTCTGCCACATTGTCGAGGTTTGAAAATTATTGTGACTATCGGAAGGCATTGACGTTTTTTCTATAATATGAAATCAGGCAAAATCAATTTTAGTGCAGGAAACTCATCCCCCTTCTTAAGTTTTCTTGTAATGTTGATAGTATATAATATCTTAATCTCTTTTTTTTTTTTGCCCTTCTTCAGAGAGTAGAAGTTATGCAACATATTTGTCCATTCTTAAAGGCTGGGTGAAGCAGGGTATTATAAAACAATTTTGTTTAAGCTTTTCATACATACGATGATGGATACTATAAAACTTCCTTGACCCTGACAAAAGGTTAACATGTATTACCACTTGAAGATGAATGGGAGCTTAGTCTGGTGAGCTATGGACAAAGGAAATCATTTTCTTTGATCACAAAACTTCCTGTTCTTTTTCATTAAAAAAAAACTATTAAATAAATGGGCTTGGCTGCATCAATGTCCCCCCTAAAAGTTTCTCCGTGATATGTTGAAATGTGGACTTAAATGGCCGCTCCAGAACCTTCAGTTTACTGGGTTTTGCTGAAAGTGTTGCATGGCAGAAAAATAAAATTTTATGAAAAGAAAATTAGGAATTCAATTTAAAAATAAAAAACAGATATCTTTCTTTTAATATTTGACTATTTGTTTTGCTTTTTTTGCAATAAATTAAACTTGAAATATTTTTATTAAGGAAAGGAACTATTTTAATTTCATTGCGAAGGGAGTTTGTGACAGTAAATAGTTGTTGATCAAACAAAAGGGTTTTGGATGTTTACCTTAGTAAAATACACCGTACCTTAATAGTACCGTTGTACCATGATTACTGCTGAAATGAAAATGTCTCGAGAGCTGTTCAAAATTAAATTTCTTTTTTTATACACTGTGTATACAAAATTACTTTAAAAGTTGTTTAAGTCTAAAAGAAAGCTTATTGACTAGCTGAATCTTTTAGGTGGATTTCTTTTGTTGTTTCTTGGAATAGAAAAAAAAAGAAGCACATATTCATATACAAGGACAGAATTTTCCATCTTCTAAAATATTTTACCCATTTAGCCTAGTCTAACGAACTGTTGAGCATATGTCTTCTTTCAAACAATGGTCACTGGACAGCGGTGGTCCTGTTTCCTATGAAATGAAAATCAAAACATGGTCATTGCAATTCAAATATGGGGTTTGTTGTGCCTTTTGTTAAAAATCTGAGATCAGAGAGTAAGTTGTCCATAATCTCTGTCTGCCACACCAGGTGTGTTGTCCCACTTCAGCATGTCAAGAATTCTAGGCCAAATCACAAACATCAGGAATTTAGTAAATCATTCATATCCCCCAACCTGTTATTTTCAAATCTTTAAGGGGTAATAGCCTGAACACAAATTGGCTCAACTAAACCAAAAAGTATCAGTTTTGATAAGAATTTAAGACCTTTACCGAGGGGATTAATCTAGGGACCTCCTGCTAAGGTATATTAAAAATCCATCAATCTGATCTTAAACAAAAATTATCTAATACATTCCTTTATTAATGTGGATAAAATGATTTGATACATGATCAGTTTTGACAAGCAGGGAGAGGAGTATTACAGTGGAACACATGTAAGTACCTTCAGCACTTATTTTGTATGTGGTCTATGAAAACAAAAAGGTATCTTCAATTTCTGATTCTATCAGAGCTTTCTGCCTGAGATGTTTCTCTAAGCAGTACACTGGAATGGGATCGCTGTATGTGTCAAACTTGTTTGCAAAGAGGTGGTGGTTCTCTAGTAACCACTGTAGGTCCCCAGCTCCATATACACATACGGCTCTTACATGGTTGCCATGACACTCAGGATATACAGCTGAATGCTCTGATCCCTCATGATACGCCCACTTCACCAGCCTTGCAATGGAATTAATGTCCGTCTGATCATACTTGGAGTGGGGTCTCGTTGACCCCGGTACACCAGCCATTCGCTGAATGGTTGCCCACAGAAACTCATCAGGACTGTAGGTGTCTTTGCTCCACTCAATAAGAGTTTTTACTCTGGTGTCTTTCAAAACACTGCGGACGTAGCCCCGAGTTACCACAATGTAGGCATTTCCTGATTTAATCGGCAGGTTGAAGGGTGGTGGACTCTTTGACTTTCCTGTTGACTAAAAAAAAAAAACAAATGAAAAAAATAAAAATGTGACAAGAAAGATAATTAATGCCAGCTTCAACACAAACGTTTGTTCTTAAATTTACCTTGATTTCTCCATTAACAATTTCATGAGCATTTGACACCCTCCACTTCTTCCCCTCAGGCATGTTTTCTGACTCCATGCTGTTGGCGCCCTTCAGCGAGCGCAGCACCCTTACCATTTCCAAGTTGGTTTTCAGAGGGAAGTCCTGCCCGCAAAGGTTGATGAAGTATTTCCACTCTGCACTGACTTTATACAGGTCAGCCATGCAGTTAATGTCTGCTTGGACCCTTGGCCAAGCAGCATAGACCACAGTCACAGGCTGACTAACCATGAAAACATTAGGGAAACAGGAAACAATTCCCTCAATGGCTGCTTTTATGGAGGGCTGGGATTTGTTGTCCACATGAACACAATAAAAATTCTGAGGTGCATAGATGGCTCGGAGCAGTCTTTCAAAGTTCTGCACCTGCATTGTGTAAAAAAAGAATTCAGAGTATACATATTTGTTTCTAAAAAACATAAATATATGTGAGGATGGGTGATTCCAAAGTAAAATCTGATACAGAAGACATTTATTCAAACCAAATATTAAGTGTTTTAATCTAAAATGCACTTTCATATAGAAGTTAAAATGTTTTTACCTTGTGATGAACAACGATGGAGTAAGCCAGAGGAAACTCTTCCTCTTCTTTGCTTAAAGGAAATGTAATGTATTTCCTCCTTGTTTTGTAATTCCTGTAACATTGTTGTATGTTGGTAAGTATCATTCAAACTATTTATCTACTTAAATAGATACAGTGCCTTGCAATATTATTGATATATAACTTTTCACATTTTATTACCTAACAACCACAAGCCATAATGCATTTTATCATAGATTTTATTTCTTTTTTTGTGATAGAGATAAAAGCAAAATGGTGAATTTGAGTTAAGTTCAACACAATCAAATATTTATATATATAAGCTTGAAAACAAGCAAGTTTTCTGACACCATTAAATAAAATCATCTCCAATCTGTTGCTTTTGGAAGTCCCCTAAAGAGCCCAACCTTTTCTCGATATAAATTGTTCTGTTCTCAAAAGCCATAAAAGGGTGTAGATAAACTTGCTTTTCAAGCAGATTGTGTCGGTGTGTCGGTCCTTCACATAAAACCCTAACTAAATAAATGTATGATTGTGGTTGTAAACTGACCCAGCGGTGAAAGTTAGAGGGTTGTGATTACTTCTGCAAGGCACTGTGGATTAAAGCAACACACCTGCAGTCCCGGGTTTCATTAATGTAATACTCATCAGGGACCTGGATACTCTTCCGAAAGTCTCTTGTGATGCTTAATAATTTTGCTTGCTTTAGTGCCTCCCACTGTCCCCGTCTGATTGCTGAGCAGTCGCACGATCTCTCTGGGCCAAAATCATAATCCCTGTACACCAACCAGTTGTTACTCTGAACCAGCTCAGAGGTAGGGGATATGTCCGGCTGAAGGACCAGAAAAAGCATCCATACAGATCCCAGCGCAATGCTGAGCTTCAACAGCAGTTGCCTTGAGCTTTTTTTGCACAGCGGCATGGTTTCAAAAGGAAGACTCCTGCAAGGAAACCGGCAGAGTTATATAGAGTTTATAGTGCCACCTGTTGAAGATAAACTTAAGATCAATAAAATCACAACATCTTTAGTAAAACTTGAATTTTTTTTAAGGAACAGACACTTGTAATGGAAAGCTTTGTGTTTACACCTTGAAGCTTTCTCTCTTCAGTTCTTTTCCTGCGAAGAGATCATTCGGGACAAACTCTTAAAATAACGCTTAATGTTGTATGTGTAATTTAAAAACCATGAGAATGGACAACAGATTTTGACAGACATTTTAAGCTTATTCAGATCAGAGAAGTTGCTTTGAGTTACAGAAGGTAGTGCTTACCAACCGGGCTCACTTCTCATGAAGTGGCCACAATTCAAAGTTAGAGAAGCATTTTATACAACTCCAGTCTGCCATATCATCAGCAGGACACATGCATGGCTCCAGCCTTATTTTAGACAAGGACACCGCTCTTATTCCGTTCCCAAATCTTTGCCAAATACATACTAAAAGGACTTTTTATCCTGACAGAGGGACTGTCCTAATTAGATAAACTACTTAGGAAAACATTAGTTTTGACACAACAGGCAGATATTAGTGTTTAACAGACTTACACATCATCAATTAAAATAATCCTAACGCACACATCCTATCAACTATCAAACTTAAGATCAGACGATTTCTTGGCCTGATTGACTACACTTTATTGATTGATTTATTGACTTTATTTTTTTTCTCACGGTGGAGAAATTTACTCTTTACATCAACTCAAATAGTCAAAGGAGAAGAAAAAGGTGCCAAGGAAAGAAAAAGGTGCATGGGACATTTACAGTATATACAGTATGTCCACATTTTATTTTCAGTAGGATTATTATATAGGGTTATTGCACATTTATGTGACACATCTTCTTCTAAGGGTGCGTAATATTTTCTACAAGTATTTTTTGTGTATGATACGTATAATACTTATAATACGCATAACTTTTTAAAATGTCGATAACCTTTTGTAATGGAGATGATGATGCTTTATTGGCACTAAGGGTTGACTTTACACCTCCTAGTCACTTTTCCTGGCAATAAAACGCATTGTTTGCTCTGCTGTTTATATTGTCCTTTCAGCAAAAGTGTAGGTATAAAATTTTATATTGATGCATTTCTTTAGAGTGATGAGAAGAGGTAGAGCTGTAATTTATCGAGAGAACAATTACCACAGCTTTCCACAGTTCTGTATCAGACAAGTGGAAACATGTTTAAATAAAGCCAAGTGAATTCAATAATTAACACAGCTGAATCTGAACATATTTTATCCACTTTTCTAACTCCTTATACCTCTTTTGTACTGAAAAACAAGGTACATAAAACACACTATACTAAAACTTTGAACTTAGACATTAAAACACTAATCCGATTTTATAGGGTATGTCCTTGATCCACTGTCCCCTTGAAGTATTTAATGCCAAGGATACTAAAGTAAGTTGTCTTGTGGTGTATTTTAGTTATTTAGTTAATATAGGTTTATTTTTAGGTTTCATTGATGTGAACATCGATGTATTTTAACTTTGCACATGTTTACAACTAACTTACAACCATAAAGTGATTTCTGAAACCTGAAAAACCAAAGCTGTTTAGACATTTTTAGCTGCGTTAATTTGACATCATAATTAGAAAAAATATGGAATCTGTTGAATCAGTTTCATTTAACTGAGCCACTGTGGAGTTCATTTTTGTCCATTTCAACTTACTTTCGTCTTAATAATGTTCAATTTTCTTCATTTCACTGTAATTAATTCCTTTTATGGATTCAGTTTAACCAAGAAAAGTGCTATGAGCAAATGAAAAAGATACCCCTTTGAAATATTTACTTTAGCTCTGAAGGATCTATTGTTCCATTTTAACTGTGAAAATTTAATCCTTTATAGTGAAAGTTACCGTTTTTGAATGATGTGCATACCCCTTAGACCAGGCCTTGAATGATTTATTACCTACTGTAAATTAAGTTGAAAAAAGTCAATAAGTTAAACTAAAATGCTAAGTTAAAATAGTTAAATACCTAATTAAAAAGTTAAGATAATAAAGTTAATAAGAGAAGTTCGAAAAGTAAAAGATGTAACTGCTTGTATCAGCGTTAAAGCACTAAGGTGATGTTGTAACAAAATGTGTTTTTTTCACTCTGTGTTTGTCATGAATTTCTTATTGAAGCACTTATTATTTTTTTTTTCTTAATATATTAGGGCAAGTCGGCATTTCTTGTACATTGGCCTTAATTTTGCAATCAAAAATACATTATTGTTGAGTGTTACAAAAGTAACTGTCCTTCAATAACATTCTGGGCTTAAAATTTTGATTTTCAAATTATTTCAATGAGTGCCATATAACCATATTAATCCCTTGCGGGAAATTATTTTCTTGCAGTGCATCCGTTTACAGAATAGAGAAAAATAAGATTGTAAGTACAATAGAGCTGAATAAAATAAAATAGGACAGACTAAAGTAGGTAAAATTATAACTTACACGGCAAAATTACACCCTTCCAATAAAAAAAAACTGTGTAAAATAAAATATAAGAATAAAATAAGATAAGGATAAAGGGTTAATGATAATAATCAAACTGGGACCTTTTTTTTTTGTTTGTTTTGTTGAATGCAGAGGTCTTGTGTGTGAACTCTAAACAAGAAAAGTGCTATTTAAAGACATGCTTAACGCATTTATGTTTGGAAAAAAAAATCTGCCGGGAACAAGTTAATCATGTCTACAACTAATGTTAATTTAGAATTGCAGTATTACAATGTAGAGACAGCAAGAACAAAGTTATCACCAGTGGTTTTGGGAAAAGCTATATCGGATTGTACCATTGTTTAATGTTTCTAAGATAAATTTCTAAAATACCACATAAAGTAGACATCTTATGTCAACTGCTATATTTATGACCCCCATAAAAATGTATGACCTTTGTGGTCCAGTTATGACCCTAATCTCCCTTCTGCTCCAATATCCTTTTCCAGCGTCATAATAACAATGTGCCTTTGTGCAGCATTTCCTAAATGAGTTTACTGTCGCTAATCAAGCTTTAAAATGTCTTAAGACCATTCTTTGACCTGCTAACAGAAACTTTTCCATTAAATGGAGCATCTCTCTACTTTCTTGAACACCTCACGCACAAAGAAACAATCAGATTTTTACACCCACACTTCAACCCTTAACTCAGAGAAAGTAGCCGAATTTTATCAAAATTTCTGAGTTTCACCATCAACCAAATTTTTTCTTGTTCACACATACACACACCGACACACACACACACGTTAACCAATTGTCATAGATGGTGTCTCGTCTCTATGTATATGTAGAAACATACTACTCTACTTTTAATAAGAAAAACAGCATTATTCCCAACATTGCCTGGAACTATGAGAGTTTATCTATAAAAGAGGAGAAAATTTAAGTTTTAAATACAATCGCTCTACCTTTAATGAATGGATCAAGAGTATAATTTGGGCTACTCACCCCTCCTACTGAAGACACTACTGTGAAGACGGAAGACATAGTCACCCTGATGCAAAGGGTGGAGACTAAGATGAATAGAGATACCTATCAAGTCCTTGGATTTGCATGAAACCGGTTTGCAGGAAAAATAAGGTTGTTTACATCATGTAAATGCACTCTTTGTCTATTTATTTGTGATGATCAGCCCTCAGGGAGTTATAGCAGTTACCTTTGCAACAGGTCGTCTGAGGAGTTGAAGCAGAGTAGAAATATTTTTCCA